CTACGCGGATGTTCCTGATAAAAAGTTGTTTCAAAATTCAGGATGTTTCAAAAGTTCAAAAGTCTTTTCTTTTTTCAAAGTCACTGCTGAATTTATTTCTAATAAATCAATTATTGTCCTCACACTGTGACACCAACTGTACCGATTTTAAATAAAACGAGCGGTTCGAATTTATATAAATATATTTATTTATAACTTTACAGTTCGGTCATATCTTATCAACTAACCTTACTCCTAACATCGTTACATATATATATATATATATATATATATATATATATATATATATATATATATATACCAAAGTTACTATATTCTAGAACATTCCCACCTCTAATTCGCCTACGCGTTCTCTTGCGTTCGAGAGATCTATGTATGGTTCTCGATGCCTGAGATGCAACCGCTACACGGGTCACGCTGAATGCATGTTCGTAACAATATCGTAGGTCACATTCTACCAGATCTTCGAGGAAAATCAGAATATTAGAATTTTATGAGGTGTAGGGGAAGTATGCCTACGTTGGACCCCTGACTATAATTTCAAATAGCGCGCGGTTACATACACATCGCCCGTTTCCGCTTGAGCACAAATTTTGTAGTTTAGTATTTGCAAAGTTTCAGACACGTGGCTGATATAACAGAAAATTATGAAAAACATGAAATATACATCATTGAAAATAAAACTGGAGAATTAATAGCAGAAACAAAAGAAATAGTTCAAAGATGAAAACAATACTTCGAAGAACTGCTAACGGATATTAACCAGACCGACATCAACGCAGAACAAAATATATTGGAAGATAATACATGCATGCTAACTTTCATCATCCCCCTTTATATATTAATTCAAATATTAATACGCTTGTCCTCAGATCAATACGCGTTTGCGATTATGCAAGTAGAACCACTGAGCTCTCTAGTTTAAAAACAAGCCCTCGTCCAAAACGATTACCGCGAAAATCGATCTCAACCCAAAGACTCAGACCCTCATCATACGAAGGCTATTCTTCCTTACATCGAAGGTGTCACTGACAAAATCGACAAAATTTTAAGATCAAGATTTATAAAGACAATATTTATCCCCAACAAAAACTTTTATCTCTTGTCCGATCAATCAAAGACAACATTCCAAATGAACAACACAGAGTTTATGAAAGTCCATGTGTGGACTGCCCGATCATATATAGACCAAACAAATCGTAGAATCCAAAATAGGATTTATGCACATTCCATTTCTGTCACAAAATTGATTTTGAAAACTCCAGAACCGTAGCCCTCATCCGCTTCTATAAACCAAAAATTATCCGAGAAGCCATAGAAATAAGGCCAATTGTCTCAATAAAAGAGATGACGGCATACGGTTACCTTTGACTTGGAGACCTCTCATAAAGAAAATACCGTTCACTCCATCCGTCAATCAAAATCCTACTGTCAAAAATGTTCGAGCTAACCCCCGTGCCGACACTCACCCAAGCCACGTCACTGTCGAAGGTATAAATGACCCTTCCTCTATTCCCAGCACCAGTAACGATTGATTAATGATCAGTGTAGAAGCGGCTGGAGGTTCGGGAGACTGAGACCTCGGAAGCCCTGAAGAAGACATCGAAGGGGATGTCTTCTTCTGTATTGTACCCCTGCGTATACCAACTAATTTTGCAACCTTTTTCTATATTTGTTCTAGTGTAAACAAGTTAGCAGAGAAAGCGAAGCATGGAGAACAATAAAGTCTCTTAGAACGGCGCTAAAAGATTGGAAAGATTATTATCAACAGTAATTTCTGTCAGAGACATCTTTTATAGATGAAAACTCATAACAACTAAAGTAAAGAAAGTCATAATGACAATGAAAAATGGATGAGCTTCTGGACCTTCAAGTCTCCCCGTGGAACTTTTCAAGTATGGACCGAACTCTCCACTGCAGCTACTTGCTTTTGTGTTTAATTGCTTTATGAGGGGCGAAGAACTGCCAGCCTGGAAACAGCCTCGTAACAAACATTCATAAAAAAAGGTGACAGAAGAAAGTACTGCAACTTTAGAGCTTTAAGTCTGCAATGGTTAAATTATATCTAGAAGGAACTTAAATAGTGCAGCAGTGAGATTCCATGGTGCTGCTAATTGGCCAACGAAAACTTTTGTACGCGATTTTCAGATTGGAAATCGAAACGTCGAAGTACATATAATTCTTATTATAATCAATTGTGGTTTAATTCCATATAACATGATATTCAAAACAATGCATTTTTAATATACTTTTATCTTCCAAAGTTAACATTGTAATTGTAGCATACTTACCCGTAACCACTTTCTTATTCAAAATTATTGGACACCTTTTCGAGGTATTCAGATTGACTGATTTTTCCAAATCAATGAATACCATGGGCACCTTTGGTTACTTATTATTCCATCAGATATTTTTGATCGTCTGAAATAATACCCAAGTTTTTGATTCTCAAGCATCTTCCACCTATCATTTTCTATTATCGATTTCAATGACATCAGTATGTTTATAACACACCCCATCTCATTCCTTATTGAGCCATCACCGCTTTCAGACACTTGATACCATTATAACACAAGAGGCTTGGAAATTATGTTGAGTCCTCCGCCTGTACACATGATCGTCTTAATTATTTTAATTAATTTCGACAGATTGTCGAAAATCTCTATCATTTAAGTTTTAGTTTCATTCATAACAGTTGAATTCTTCTGTCAAAATCAAGGCACTCTGATGAGTGTCCACCTCGAAATCCTTCCTATTGGCCGATTGACCTGAAAATGCCTAAAATGGCATACACATGTATAAAAAGGGTGATTATTCAGGTCAGGCAGGCTATTCTTCATTTGCTCTCCTAGAGTCACCTACACCCTGCTCCCTTCTTCAACCTCAAGACTCTGTGGCTGTTTTACTTCAGCTAGATATTGGTGTGTTATTTGTTATGTAAGAGCTCTTTATCAAGATTAGCTACACCAAACACCTTCAACAGTTCATAGCCAAAATAGACTTGCCGTCACCGTCAGTAGAGATTAGTAATAATTTCTTCGAACTGTGTACGGTTTTGCATCCTTTTCAGTAGGGTATGTAAATTGAGTTCCGTCCAATAACGGCCGTTCTTCAACCAAATGGTCCGTCCCTCTATGATTAGTTTTGGGCATTCATATCTCTTGTGTCGATATATGCGACCTTTCTCAACTTAATTAGTGTGGGTCTTTCCTATTCCTACCAAAACATCGTCATTTATAACGTGATCTATGTACTCGAGACATTCTAACCAAACGTCGGGGTATCCACATTTCGAAAGCCGCAAAGCGATTCATTACCCCGTCTCTCATGGTTCTTATTGCCAGGTCTGAGTCGTCTGTCATGTCTGCAGAATGATTAATTGCAGTAATTTGACATTTATCTATGTATGTAAAATTTTTCAGTACCATCCGATCTTCTTTAACATATCTAATAATTCAGTATGAGCTATTGCTCTTTAATATATATATTAAGTCAGGCGTGTCGAGTGAAGTCCCTCGCAAATGATATTTGGACTCTACAGCACCTTCCATAAATTATGATACCGTAAGGTATGTCGATAACACGCCCAACCTCAGCGACCAGTCGGAAGAATATAATAAAATACTGCCCGGAGTTTGCCATTGTACAGGAGAGTATAGTCCCTTCTCTTTATATAGCAGAACGAAATCTAGTCCCATTTAAGCTCTAGATGGACGAGCGTAGTAATGGTTTTGAGTCAAAACAGACACGTATAGGCTTTTCAGACCGAGATCTTAGTTTGTGCTCAAAAGATCATCATGACAGCGATCCTTGGATGATAATCACTATAGACTCAGTAAGACTACGATAAAAGCCCTGAAGGCATCAAAAATTGATCCCAATTAGTTTTGAGCTTCAAAAGGACTCAAATTATCGTTGCAGGTCAATTTAATATAGATTTCAGCACATTCGGGAGTGGAGAAGATTGAATATGCTAATACTCTTTATAGATAGTGCTTTTCTACTCTGAGGCCCGAGACATTCATTGGAGTGCCCTTGATGCCATAACGTTCTCACAAGGTCTAGTTTTGGCCTTTCAGGGGGGGTATGTCCTGAAATCGTCGCTTATCCAGCTGAATAATGGCAACGTGATCCCGTTAACACTAGTTGTACACCTCTATGTATAAAGATGGCCGCCTAAATTACACTGCTGGACAGTAGTTGACAGCTAACAGCAGCTGAGCTCTAGATGGACAAGCGTACTACTAGGTTTGAGCAAAGGCATACACTGGAGTTTTATATAGTTTTTCAGTCTAATATCTTAGTTGGTGCTCAAAAAATCATAGAGATAGTCTTATTCGGCATGATAATTTGCTATTTGCTCAGTCATTCCACGTTAAAATCCCTGGAAGCACCAATAATTGACCCCAATTAGTTCTGACCTTCAAGAGGATCCTAACTATCGTTGTAGTTCCATTTAATGTAGGTGTCAGCACCTTCGGGTGAAGAGAAGATTAAATAGGCTGATACCCTTGCTAGATAGTGTCCACTGCGCCTCTGAAGAACGAGACACTCAGTGGAGTGCTGGGCTTCGGAGCACTCTTTCATACTGGTCGGTTCAGTTTCAAGAAGTACGTATTGTACCTTCCAAGAAACTTCTGCTTAACTTCGTATGCTGGATTAGTAAATGTATCTATATGATAAGGAAGACATATTAATGAAGACGTCTTCATATATTCTAGCTCTGGCCTTTCAGAAGTGAGATGTTTTACAGTATCGTTTATCTACTTGAATAAATTTAAGGCGACCCCGCTGATGAAGTTTGTGTTTTTCAATAATTAGATTCTAGAACGACAGGGGCTCAGTCCTCTGATGCGCCGTAGACTACTTCTAGTTCGGACGTTAAGAAATGATAATGGACCCGCTATATGTGGTCTAAGTATCATCGTTCCTATAATGTTATTCTCATCTTCTCAATTATTTATGTGTTCCAGAGTACCGGGTATAGGGATGGATTAAAAACATTTATTAAATATTATTTATTTTCATACAAAGTCAAAAAGAGTATAAAAGCTTTTCTATATATAATAAAAACAATCGTCATCTAAAAATATTATAAAAAATTTTATGTTTTTATTTATTACGTTAGTATCAAATCTTTATTCTTTATACAAATATAAATAAATAATACCATCACCGGTTAATCACAAGTGGAACACCAATATGTCAGACAGTCTCACAAAATGGTATTGTATTTTCAAAAATACACTCTCATATTACACTAAAACGTATCTAGTCCAGGTAGAAAGCAACTGTGAATAGAAAAAGGGGTATATTACCCAGAAATACGATATGATACTTCCAAAACTGTTTGGATTTAACAGTATAAGATGTTCTTCCTAATGGCATTGCTTTTAATTGAGGTTAAAATGAATTAGAATCACAATAATAACATCAGACACCTAATATATCGATAAAAAAACGATAGAACGGTCTTAGTTTAGCCTTTTCAATTCAAATCAGTAGTGATACGTGACATACACGGTATATCACATGCCATATGACGGATGCTTTCTTAAGTTTTAACCACCATCAAAAGTCATGAATAGTTTGAATGGAATGTAAAGACGCAATATGTAGAATATTTACAAACATAAAATCGAAAGGAAGTGACACCCTATATAAAAAAAAACAAGTATCATAAGATAGATAAATCACTATGCGACCTGTGAGAAATAGAAAACTCCAAAAAAATGCTTAATTGTATTGATTGTGTAATGGTCATTGCATACGTAAGAGGTGATTGGAACGGACCGTTTAAATATAGAGCTGAAAAAGTGGAAACCTAAGACATATGTCATCGTGTATACACATAAGATATACCGTAATGAGGTTTTTTTTTTTGTATCATTTTTCTAGATTTGTTTCCAGTCTATTTTTGATCTAAAATATGAACTCCGGGTCAATATTTTCCATGAATAAATTCAAGGAAAAAATCCAGCTAGACGACAATCATATTTCAGAAAACGTATCATACGTCTGATAGCGTCTAGATACCGAAAGTATCCGTCATGGTGGGGGAAGTGGATATTCATTAGCCAATTTTTTTTTGTCAGACGTCCGACGACAGCTATCTAGTGATTATACGATAAGCAACACTGAGAGTCCGTTAAAAAAATCGGTCCGGAAGACTTCCAGCAGCCTTATATCAATTAATGGTGTAATGCTGGTTGCATATCTATAGGTGTATAGAATAGAAAACCCAAAGTCGTGTTATTATCAAGATGAAGACATATTCAATAAACATCTCTCTGAACTAGATACATTTCTATAGAAAATTTAGGCCGACAATAAGTTATGTATATGTATATAAATAATTATTAATAAATTACAAATATTACAATCATTAAATAAATTAAGTACCTTTGGTTTAAGCATTAATATCGCATAAGTATCAGTTCAACAATTACACGAGAATCGTGTTGAAAGGTACAATATATGACACAGCTAGTCCGCAGAATTTTTGAACAAATATCGTTCATATTTATACGAATAAGATCAAAATAGTTAATGTCAAACGTATGTCAGTGTTACAGTTACGAAATGCCAACCAATGAAATGTGCATTTAGACGTTGGAAAATATTTTTGTTGTTTACAAAAACGACAACAGAAACTTTACTTAAGAAAAAATAGAACACTAATATAATAATCAGCCGCTATAAGGCACATTTTTGCCAAGAAATATAAGTTCAATGTACTAAAATTGATTAAAATGAATCTAATATATCAATTAACACACTGCCTTTTATTTGATATTTTAGATTTTATAGGAATAAACGGCGTAATTTCATGATTTTAGGAGCCGTAATTTTTTTTAGGAGAATAATGTCTAAAATGATCAAAAATCCAACAAATAGACTGTTTCAAATATTCGTATAATCGTTGAACGATTTTTTTTAAGTTGAGGCAGTAGTGTTAAGTCTTTTTATTTTATTCACTTTCGAATAAAAGTCATATATTCACATATATCGATTTATTTATCACACTACTGAAAAAATTGTGAATATATGTCACATATTGTAGTAGATATAGACCCAATAATTGGAAATATATCAGAAATGAGACATAAATGTCGATATTAAAACAGAAAAATCAAGAATATAAAAAAGTAACATGGAAGACGAAAATAATACTTATAGAAGAATAAAATTAGTGTTTTAAGGCAAGCATGTTCTACAAAATATTATTAAACTTTAATTATTGATATATTTATATTGATTCACACAGCTAAATTGTGAATACCTACTACACATTTTCATCTTGTATACCAATTATGAGACTAGACAAATGTGTTCATCTCGACTTCTAGTTACTAAATTTTTCATCCATGTCTGTAAAAATAAAATTAATTTTTTTCCGGTTCTGTATTTTTCTGTGGTATCTTATCTTCCAGCATTCTGCCAAAGTTTAAGACTTGTCACTGTTTTTCCTATCTAATAAAAGATGTTATTCTTTCCTATTTAATAAAAGAAGTCTTTTAACTTGTCATTTATTGTTTTTTGTACAATATATTTATTTATTCAGTCATGAACATTTAGCTTTTGATTTATTATCCATTGTTTTTTATCATTCTGCATTCATATATAAAATTATTCAAAATCCACGCCATATTCAAAATTTTGCACCATTAAGCTGTTACAATATTGACAGCTTCAAAAATAATAATGGTGACCGCTAGCATCTCTAGATATTAAAAAATATAGTCCTAAAATAACAAACAAATTATTTTCATTGTTGAACAAAACTAGAAATTGATAAACCCATCGAGCAAAAAGACAAAAGAGAAAATCTAATCGTTATGAAAAGGAGACCAAAAAAGTGGCCTCTGATGGCGGATATATCCGGAAATGCAAAGACGCTAAATTTAAATTTTCCTACACTTATTAACAATAGCTATAAAATCTTTTTCAGACGAGAAAGTTTTAATGAAACATTAACGATAATAGTCTAAAAAGTGACACAATTGGTAAAAAACTTCAATATAAATAAAATTTCATGTGACAGTTGGGACAAACCATCGAGCAAAAAGACAAAAGAGGGAATCTAATCCTTATGAAAAGGAGACCAAAAAAGTGGCCTCTGATGGCGGACATATCCGGAAATGCGAATGCGTCAAATTTAAATTTTTCTACACTTATTAACAGTAGCTATATAATATTTTTCAGAATATGTCTTAGACGAGAAAGTTTTAATTAATTATTAACAATAATAGTCTAAAATGCGACACAATTGTTAAAAAACTTCAATATAAATAAGATTTCATGTGACATTTGGGACAAACAATAACATAACCCAACTAAATTTGATGTCAAACAAGGAGAGAGACTCTCTTTCCTTGTTTAATATGGCCTCTAAAGATCGCACTTCCTGTCTAACAATATTTTTGCCCCCACTACCTTTACATTCCCTCTTTTGTCTTTTTGCTCGATGGGACAAACAATAACATAACCAAACTAAATTTGATTTCTTAAACAAGGAAAGAGACTGTCTTTTCTTGTTTAAAGTAGCCTCTCAAGATAGCACTTCCTGTCTTTATAACAATATTTTTGTCCCCACTACCTTTACATTCCCTCTTTTGTCTTTTTTTGTCTCGATGGATAAACCACTGGCAACTGACAGCGTGTATCTGACAGTTTCAGGCATTATAAAATTGTTCAATTAATAATCAATTTCGAAGGGATAAATAAATAAATTTAGGGAGATTGGATCAGTTAGTGATCTCAGATGCTCTGATTTGTTCTTAATATGTTGTTGAATACAAAACATCATGGTGGTGATGCTGTGAGTCCAGAAATACCAATTTAAAATTTTACACTTTTACACACGAAAATCGTAAATTGAAAAACGAAAAAAGCGTAAATCGAAAATCACAAAAATCTTAAATCGATTGTAAATAAAAAATTATAAAAAGAAAATCACTAAAATCGTAAATAGTAATTTACAAAAATTGTAGGAGCCCTAATAAATATATAATGGGACAAATTAAAATATATAAAAAATTTAGGCGTTTAACTATTAATTAAGTTATGATCATACTGCTAAGTACGCAATATTTTAAGTGATATATATTATATAATTACAAAACGTAATTAATATTGTTTTATACAACCCACATAACCTATTAATGGCATAAGGATAATTAAAGTCTGTAAAAACTAGTGAAAACTGAATAATGGGACAGTATGAAGTAACTGCTAAAGACCACACAAGATAAGATAATTAGGCTGTGAAAACAGTGCAATCGAACACTCGCAACATATGTAAAATTATATTCTACAATTAATATCTCATGAAATTGGGTAAATCGCGTATTATTTTAATAAAATTGTGATTAAAAATTATTGCCGCAATAAAAAAATCTCAAAAAAGTGGCAGATGAAATTAATATTCCCAAAACTACAGTGTTGAATATAAGTAAGCATCATGAGAAATATCTTAGATAAAAAAGGTAAAAGTCCGGATCGTCCACAACCAGCTTCTGATAGGAATATGAGATTAGTAAAAAATCGTAAATCGAAAATCACAAACATCGCAAATCGAAAATTGTATTTTCACGCGCATGAATATGAAAAATACATCGATTTGCATATTCAGTAGTACAAAATTCAGTTGAACTAAAAATTGAAATTAACTGATTACAAGCACAGCGAAAATAGTTTCATGACGGAATTTTGGAAGCTAACTTAAAAAACTGTGACGTTAGGAGTCAATAAAATCAGTGATTTTTAACTGATAGATTCACCGCCAACCACTTGAACTACCAATCAATCTTCTTTTTAAATAGTGGTACCTACTGAAATATATTTACTTGAATATGCTTGCCCTAAAGATTTATTTACTCTAGCAAGTGTAGAACAAGATATTTGCTGAATATTATTTAAAAGTATGCTCTTCATTTCAACTTATACGGTAAAAATCAAACTAACAGGTTTTTCATAAAATAGTCTCTGAAAAGCGAAAAAAAAACTTTCAGGAAATATTTAGAAAGATTTACGACTCTTGAGCCTTGACTTGTTAACGGTTTGTAACGTAGATCCCACTCATAGTTTTAGTACGATCTTAATTGGGTTCAGTAAAATTTGCAGTTTTTGTATTTAAGCGAAATAAGGGATATACAAACTCATGCCAAAATTATACGAAGTATAAGGACATCAAAAACGTGCGAAAATGATGCAGATGATTCAAAAACCAAAATAAAGATATCCACGTGTTCTGTTTCGGACGAAATAATTACATTAGTTGACAGCTTAGTATTATACTCAACGATAGACTATTCACGAGTTAGATAGATGATTTCTAATATTAATTTCCGTGGAATTGAGAAGATTTTGATAGAACAGTTGCAATATCACAAGGTGTGTGTAAGAATGGTTGCCAAAATGCACAAAGAACTCCTTGAAAGAGTTAGCAAAATTTTTTAGCAGTAAAAAGAGAAATGAGAAGAATTTTGGGATTATATTATCGCTGGCGACGAAATGAGGATACACTAAACCACACTCAAGCCAAACCAGTAATCTAGTCAGTGGTGTGCGTCGTTCATATTCATCGAAATTAGTTTCTTGTGGCATTTCTATGTCACCATCTATATTTAATTGAATTCCAAATGTCAAATATAAATCATATTTAATTAAAATTATGTGAGTCCTTTATTTAAGTTCTCGTTATCTTCACCATGCACTTTCCAAAGCGTGAGACGCGGGCGTAATCAGAACCAGCGAAGCTTCGATAGAATAGGTTCATCTGGTTCACAGATGGGTCCGGAATTAACGAATGGGCGGGCTCTAATTTAGCCATCTAGTTCCTTTAGACGCAATTCGAGGAAAAATAACAATCTAATTTGGAAAAATGATGGCGTATATGTTTTAGAGTAAATAACGGCTGTGCTGTAAGAGTTTACGTCGATCAGGGTCAACAATAAATTCAGTCTTACCCCCAGAATACAATAAAGGCATGATGTCAAAGGAAATGGAAGAAAGCCAACAACGCTTTTCGCTACATCTACCGAAACGCCAAATTTAGACAGAACTCGTTGAACTAGCTCCCTACAAGCGATACCTTTTACTTAAAACATTTTTTTGCATTTTAAGCCATACTTGAGTGGAATACGTTTTAATTTGTGCCATTATTTTATGAAGAATCCTGGTAATTTATACCAACAAAAAACTTTTTGATAAATAACCTGTTACACACTTGCTATTTAGTCTTTTTTAAATATCACTGATTATTTGACACGGAACTCGCTTGTTGTTGCACGTTTTCTGTCAATTCCTTGCCTCTAGTTTCGATCGGTAGTAGAAGACAAGCTATAGCGGCCAATATGGCTGCTGTGGAGTATATCGTTGTTGAAAACGAAATTGACGATTTTAACAACACCTGAATATAACAAAAAAGGTTTTATATAGTTAATAAAGTGAATATTACCAATAATTTCCTTACCTGAGCTACGTACGGTGTAACCATAGCCCCCAATCTAGCCATCGCGCTACAAGATCCCACACCAACGGCACGTAAAGACGTCGGGTAAACTTCTGGTGTATAGACATAAGCGGCTTGAAAAACGCCAGCTATGATGCCTCTTGCAAAAAATAACATTGTCGTGAGAAAAGCTCGCCTAAAATGAATATTGATCCTTCTGTTACGATAAATATGACTCATAAAACTGTAAACATATTATTTCTAATTCTATTCTATTCTAGTAAGTTCGAAGAAAGTGGAGGTTCTGTTCATGTCAAAGTCTCAACTTTCGACGGAAAATCGTTATGGAACAACTACATGAAACAGTTCGAATCAGCTGCAAGAGCGAATGGATGGTCTGAAAAAGAAAAGGCTATAAACCTGACTATCGTTCTTCGAGGAGATCCCTTAGATGTGCTTCAGACCATAGCCGTAGAGGAAATGGATGATTTCGAACAACTCAAGAAGAGGTTAGAGGTATGGCCACGAACATTTGGAGAATGTATATCAGCCGCTGTCGGTCAGATAGCCAAGCGGCCGGATTCTCATTCGCTTCACTGCGAGTGGTTCAGCGGATGTGAGTTCGATCCCCAGCTCGGTGTACAGAAAAAAAAGGCTAACGCAGCAGTTTAAAATTCTAAATGAATCTGCAGCTTATCAGTCGCAACTTAAAAATCGAAGACAAAAGAGAGATGAGGCTCTTCAAGAATATGAGGTAGATATTGCCAGATTAGTACGATATGCTTATCCAACAGCTCCCGAAGACATGATGGAAAAGTTCAAACGTTCAAACGTTTATTGATGGTCTTCGTTATCATGAAATGCAGAGAACACTGCGATTAGCTCGCAAAGAAAGACAGAGTGATAGAACCTTCTACGAGCCCATGGGTCTCTCCGGTGGTCCTGGTTAAGAAGAAAGACGGAACGACGAGGTTCTGTGTGGATTACCGTTTGCTGAACAACGTTACCAAGAAAGATAGTTATTCTCTGCCTCGGATCGACGACACATTGGACACATTGGCTGGAAGTAAATTGTTTTCTACTTTGGATTTGAAGTCTGGATACTGGCAGGTAGAAATGGATCCAGTAGATAAAGAAAAGACAGCCTTCACCACAGGATCTGGATTGTGGCAATTCAACGTTATGCCATTTGGACTGTAATGCTCCTGCGACATTTGAGAGGCTTATGGAGAATGTGTTGAGAGGGTTATCTTGGAAAACATGCCTGGTTTATCTAGATAACATAATCGTCTTGGGGGAGACATTTGAAGATCATCTGAAGAATTAAAAAAAAAAACGTTTTTAATCGACTTAATGCTGCCCAATTGATGTTAAACCTCAAGAAGTGCCAGCTATTTCAAGGAAAAGTCAATTATCTGGGTCATATAGTCAGTAAAGAAGGAGTGGCCGTGAATAAAGGAAAAATTTATTCCATTAAGGAATGGCCAGAACTAACCGACAAACATCAAGTGAGAAGTTTTCTTGGACTATGTACTTACTACCAGAGGTTTATTAAGAGGTTTGTAGATATCGCTAAGCCATTAACGCGACTTACAGAGGAAGCAAGAGATTACCGCTGGGATACAGACTGCCAAACTGTCTATGAAACCTTAAAAAAGCATTTAATCACAGCACCAATTTTAGGGTATCCACTGCTAGAAGGAGAGTTTATCTTAGATACAGATGAAAGTAATGTGGCAATTGGAGGAGTGCTGACTCAGATTCAAGAAGGACAGGAACGAGTCATTGGATATTTTAGTAAAGTTCTTTCAAAACCTGAGCGGAATTATTGCGTCACGAGAAGAGAACTTCTAGCAGTAGCGAAATCAGTAGAGCACTTCTATCAATCTATAGAAGGAAATTTTTAATCCGAACCGACCATGCCGATCTTAAGTGGTTGATGCAGTTTAAGAATCAGATAGCCAGATGAATCAAACGACTCGAGAATACGATTTCAAGATTGAGCACCGGGCCGGAGTTAGCCACAGAAACGCTGATTCTCTTTCCAGAAGGTCAAGACCAGCAGAGTGTTCCCACTGCAACAAAACGGAATGCAAGGAAGCAGCAGTGCTAAGAACAACAATTGTCAATGACGACTGGACGCCGACTAAGATCAAGAAAGAACAAGAGAGAGATCCAGTTGTACAGAAAATTCGAAAATGGAAAGAGGAAAACCTTCGACCACCTTGGCAAAAAATATTAAACCTATTGGGCATAGTGGGACTCATTTATCATGGAAGATAGCTTACTCAAACGAGTACTGGAAAATGATGACGGTTCAGAGAAGAGAAGACAGTTGGCCATCCCAAAGAGCAGAATAGCCGAAGTACTTCGTCAGTTAAACGACAGTCCATCAGGAGGGCACTTCGGGGTAAAGAAAACCCTTCAGCGAGTTCGGGAACGGTTTTATTGGATGAACAGTTCCGACGACGTAAAAGACTGGTGTAAGAAATGTAATATACATTATAATATAATGTATACAATACATTACAATATATATGTTCGAAGCCCGTTTGAAAGAATAGCTTTGGACATTGCTTGGCCAGAAAGTGAAAATGGAGGCAAGTACATGTTGGTAGTAATGGATTACTTCACTAAGTGGGTCTAGATTTACGCACTTCCAGACCAGAAAGCCGCCACCATTGCAGATAAGTTGATCCAAGAATATGTCAGCCGATTTGGAGTGTCTTTGGAGATCCATAGTGACCAAAGAAGGAACTTCGAAAGCGATCTATTCCAAGGAATATGTGATAGACTAGGTATGAAGAAAGCAAGAACTACAGCATATCATCCGCAATCGGATGGTATGCTAGAATGGATGAATAGGACAGTTGGCAAGTATTTGACAAAGATGGTATCCAATCATCAGCGAGACCGGGACCAATATCTTACGTTCTTCACAATGGCCTACAGATATGCTGTTAACGAATCAACAGACCAAACACCAGCAAGAGTCCTATTCGGACGCGAGATGCGACTACCTTGTGATTTAGAGTTTGGGTGTCGACCTGGAGAAGATGTAGCAGGTGAAGATTATGTGATCGAATTACGAAGAAGGATGGACTATGTACACGAGTTGGTCCGTTCCCATCTTCAGATCGCTAGTGACCGAATAAAGAAACGGTACGATACGCACGCCGAAAAGGGGTGCTTTAAGAAGAACGACAAAGTCTGGCTGTATAATTCCAAGAAGCGAAAAGGTTGTTTTCCCAAGTTACAGCAGTTTTGAGAAGGGCCATACCTCATTATGGAGAAGATCAATGATGTCTACTACCGAATAAACAAGATTCCGACGGAAAAGCCGATGATAGTACACCATAACCGACTGGCGTCTTTCGAAGGTGATTATGACGTAGATGAAGAAGTGGAAGTAAACAAAGTCCAAGATGTGCGTGACCTCACGTTTGAGGAATTCATGAGTGCCTATGGAGCTATCGGTAAAGCAAGACATGGTGTTACCACTGAAGAAAGGCAAGATCTACTGGCGCTTCCCGATGACTACTCACTCGCCCTTCCCATCCCGGCCAGTATCAAAGACGCACCAGGGTTGGCACCCGTCTTTCGAAGAAAGTTCGGTAGAGTTACAGAACTTCAATTGTTTTTGAGTTTCTTACCTATCTTAGAGACGTTATCACCTTTTTTGAAACACCCTGTATAACCGTAAGTTTTAAAACATTTAAGTCCGACTTTAAATTACTAGCAATGTTAATTAGACATTTTCAATTCCCCTGAATTGCTCCAATTTAGCGTAATATTTTATGCTAATAATTTAATAAAAATACTCTAAATTCATTTCTAAAATTGTTTTTAGGTGCCAGTTTTTTTAGAAACGACATTAAAATCAATCGGTTTTAGGTTATGTTGATTGTTTATGCTTTTCCTATGTTTCTTGTCTAGTTTCCTATCTATACAATTGAAGTCAACTATCTGATTACAACAATATTTCTTATTTTTAAAAAACCAAAGTCTTCCACCGATGTCTTTGATTTTCCTTGCGATTATTGCAAGTTGGAACTGTGTAGCATTTGTTCCAATGAAAGTGCTAAAGTAATTCAAGTAAGTAATTTAAGTCAATCATGAGATTTGACTGAATGAATTACCTTGTTTATAAATCTTAATACACTACTACGAAATAACTCCCCCATATAAGTTACAAAAGTGAAAAATTTCAATTTTGTCAAAAATGTATTTGATTTTCTCGCAAACGCATAGTCTAAACACTAAGCAGGTCAACAGCCAATAGTTGACGGGCCAGTCGCAGTATATTATTCATGGATCTTAGATATACTTATGTACCACACTGCTTGAAGTTCGGTTCATTCGATGAGTGAATTTAAGAGAATACTCTTTCAAATCAGTAATCCTGATAAAATATTTATTGTCATCAGTTACAAGGCCTGTTCCTGAAGTTTCTACAAACATATTAGTTTTTTGTCAGTACAGAAGACACTGACAGCATCACAAGTGTGTTGAAAGTCAACTGTCTTGATTACCGTGTGTCGCTTTAATCTGAAAGGATGATTGTTTGAGAAAGTATGCGCGTATTCATTTCATATTTTTACAGTTAATATTTTTTCTGTTACGGTACTGTAATATGACCTAATTTGGGTGCTGTATTTCAATCTTTTAAAATATATTATTTCCTGTGAGTTCGTAAAACTCAAACTGGCTCTCATTTATTATGTTAACGTACGCAGAATTGGACTTTTTCTTTGTATTCTATGTCAAAAAAGATTGAAACAAGTGGTTGATTTATGGCACTTGCATCTGTTGACCACCCAACGATCAGAGGGCGGTTTTGCCCTGGTAGCGATCTCAAGACGGACACTTTTGCCACTTCTTCGTCACGAGTGAACGAAAACACATTGACCGGTCTTGTGCTGAGTCTCGGCGACGCGGCGTCCCTCGTCCCGGGCGTCGGTACCACCGACCAACTCTACAGCTTGGTACGAATTCATCAATCGAATCAGAGGTGAGTATATTCTTGTATAAAACATTGATAATGAGTAAACCAGTTTATTTCTAATTTATTTCTACTTTTACAATTTATAATTGCTATTTTCACCAATTTTATGTATCAACAATATCACATTTTTTCGTTATAATTATTTATCTGATATAATTTAACCAGCGACCTCTCAAGTTTAATCCTAAACAATGGTGGTCTTCGAAATGTTAGATTGTTACTTCTGTTTCAAAGGCTTCTGCGGAGCTAGAGTGGAAACAATTAGCGACATTTAGCATCAAGAACAGACGCCGGGAATCTGTGAAGATCAGAGCTAAAAGTCGGACAACGTAACGTAAGGCTGACCAGACTAACAGGTAGTCTAGAACAGGTACACATCGAGAAATGAACAGGTACACATCAAATGTTCTTGTATCGGTATATAATCTGACTTTGGGTTCTTACGGTAAATAGATTTTTAAGAAGCAATTGTACAAGTAAATAAAAACTGCATATAAAACGAACCTTGAATTATAAATTACCCTAACATATAGTCTAAGCTTAAAGCTAAACTGAACATTTTTGAACATTTCTTTGTGGGAACACTCATAAACATATAAACTTCAACTAAATAAAAATAACAATAATTAAATATTACTCACGTTTCAGTACAGAGCACAAGGAAACAGCAACAGACTGCATAGGCCACAAATTGTACAGCCATAGTTTTCTTCCTCCCAAACCGCTCTATAATCGCAATTGTGATGAATATCCCTGAAAATATTAGTGAAGTGGTCACAATTGTTTTTATCATGTATAACTCTTTTTTCTAACCGTTGCTTGTTAGATAGGTTATAAGACGATATAGAGAATAAACAAAAAATATAAAGACAAAATGTGCCTCTGTTTTTTATATTTTATTGAAAGAAAAACAAATACGAGAAATACAAAAATAACAATAAAATGAAAAAGACAATGAGAAAAACGAGAACAGATTAACTATTTTGTGATTCTAAATTTTCTTTCGAAATCGAGTACAATAAACTTGATATTTTCTCATGTGTTTCAAGACAAAAAAAACGGTACGTGGCAATTGGAAAGTACCGTCACTGATTACTTCTTATAACGCGTTATTAATGGGTATTAATGGGTTAATGAAATTGTATGTCTGCTTATTACTGAAATGTTAATATATTTTTTCATGACACGTCAGATTTAAGTTCTTTAAAATTTAAATTTTTTTCTGTAAAAATTTTGTTTAATGATTTAAGCAATTTTTAAAATTTGTTAAATATAATACATATAGAATTTACTCATCATTTGCAGATTCATTATAATACTAGTATTTATATTTAATTACTTCATTTTGATTATCAATATACTTCATTACAATGGAAATTAAAAAAAAAAACAAAATATTTCTCCTAGAGACAGGGAATCGAACTCCAGTCATTCGAGTAAAAAAGAAAAAAGTATGTAGTTATGAAGATAGCCAGGGTTTTATTGTCATCATCCAAAGGAATTTATAACTGTTTGTATGTGACAATAAAATTGTTGTTTTTACTATTCTCTGTACAATTCCATCATTTTTTTCGCCTTTAAACCTTCCTTAGATTTCAACAAATATTTCAAAATCAAAATTAGCCAAATCGATCCAGTCGTACTCCAGTTAACATAAAAAAGTTATAAAATGACGTTTGTTAAACGTCATTTTATTTTTATAAGTGTATAATATGTATGTATATTACTGCATACCCAAAAGTTACTGCACGCTTCTCGATATACCGCGTGACGCTAAATATTATTTCGAGCCCGTGCAAAAACATCATACCGAGCGGTAAGAAATATTCACTCCAAAAAAAAAAAGAAAAGTAAAGCCATTTACCTGTTTGTATTTTATATCGTTAAACAATTTTAATTGTACTAATGTACTTATTTACTAGTCAAGATCAATATCTATTTTTCTTACCTGGAAATTCTGCCAAAGTGGTCCACAATAGATCCATATAATCAGTGGTTTGCAGCTCCCTGCATTCTGCAGCGCAAGTATCTACTGACTGAGCCGGCCTTGTTCGAGCAGAACACAAGCTTGCCGACGTTTCGAATAATTCCGTCGTCATCAGAACAAGACCGTAATAACAAAAAGCACAGGCCATCCTAAAAAATGTGTCACATCTTAGTCACAATTGTGTTTAAGGAAATTTCTTCTGAATAGTGTTCTTCTTTTATTTAAATTTAAAATAGATTTTGAACATGTGTCCACAAGGAACAGATGTTGCTACAATATTACAATATTATATGAATATAGTGGTTAAGTTAGGATATACGATGGTTTTTCCACCACTGTAAAGGAGAGATGATTTGGGATGAAAACATTTAAATTGTCTTGCTCATCCGTTAAATTTATTGATGAAGGACGCACTTAAATGCTGTCGTGTAGAAATAGATAAAATAAAAAAAATCGTGTTTTTTTTCGACATTTCGACAAAAAATACATTTAAAAAAAAGTACATTATCTTCAGAAAGGCTTTTAAAGTATCAATTACAACATAACAAAGTTCCCAAACAGCCAATCCAATACGTGGAAACTTCACCTATTACATGTTAAAAAGAATGACCGAGTTAGAAGAGGCATTCCGTTCCACATTGGTATAAGTTAATACAGACTTGGAAATCTAAATACTGAAGACGGGATTATTTATTCTTAACTTTTCCAAATTTTACGGCCTTTTAAAGAAAGAGATAGATCCCTTTTAGATGGATAGAACAGAGTGGCACATTATCATTATGTACATTTATGGAATTACGATTTAAAGCGCAGGGATTCTCTGATAAAAATGAAGCTAAAAAAATAAAAAAAAAGTTAAGAAGCTGGTTACTTCTATAATTAGAGAAAAAGAAGATTGTACTATTGAAAATCAATCAGTACAAGAAAAAGAAACTGATAAAGATGACTTAAGTCCATGGTGTATTTTTGATCAATTAATTGGACATGACTCATCTAAACGTACACCTGTATCGAGAGCTATAAAAGAAGTCGATATGTCTGTCTGATGACATATTACCCACAAAACATTCGAACGGAGATTGGAACTGTCCATTACAGTGGTGGAAAAACCATCGCCATGTATATCGTAACTTAACCACCATATTCATAAAATATTGTAAATGTGAACACATGTTCAAAATCTGGTTTAATTTAAAAATAAAATCGGGTGTGGCAGTCCAGTGGGACTGCCGGTAGAAGTTATACTACTATACACGCGTACAAATTTATATGGGAGTCAATCATTACATATTTAATGCTATAGGTAAGAGAGAGCAGAAAGAGAAAAAGAATTAGGTATATAGCCTATTTGCCAATTAGACATGATACTAACGGATTTCAAATTTGACAGTTGTCGGCCATACAGTGATTATTTTGAAATACAAAAGTCTAAATTAATTATGAACATTTAATAAATAATACAAAACATATCACATAAATAATAATATTACTATATATATATATATATATATATATATATATATATATATATATATATATATATATCTAAATATATAAATATAAAAAACCAACAACTCGGATTATGTTGTAAATTTTCATTTTATTTTAAAATTTAGCATTTTTGCGTATATTACATATATTTAATAATATTAACGTGAGGTTTTTAAATACTTGTATTTACATATGTATTATGTATATATGTATATATGTACATATGTATTTCAAAAATAAAAAAGTTACAGTAAGTTAGTTTAATGTTAGATCACTTTCTATAGATACTTTATGTTGCTTATAGTTCATTACTTTACCCTTGGCTTTCAGTATTTTCATTTTATCTTTGAATTTTTTACATTCGATAACACACATTGTTTCATTTATTTTTTGTACCCTATTTATTTCTGATTTTACTCCTATTTTTGTTTCTATAAAGTTATCTAGTTGCCTTGCGGCTATTGTGTCTATTGGTAAGCCTTTCATTATTAGGTTATTTTTCTCCTTTTCTTTCTGACATGCTTCCAAGGTTATTTCTATTTTATCTTTTGTTTCATCGTAGCCATTTCTTGCTTTAGATTTTCATTTTCTCTTATTATTTCTTTCATTTGCAATTTGTATTCACTCTTTTCCTTCCTAATTTCTTTTAGTTCCTCAGTCATATTGCCCATTGTATTTTTTATATCTTCTAGGTCCTTGTTTTTCTTTTTATTGTCGCTTACTAGTTGTCTCATTAGTTCCATCATTTCGTTATTGCTGCTGGCTTCATTCGTTGATGGATTCGACCTGTCTGGTGTTCGGTTCACTTTTCTGCTCCTGCTGAATATGTCTAGCTCCTCTCTACTTTTTCTTTTACTATCTTCATCCACCTTACCATCCGCCATCTTTCTTCTAATTCAAATAAGTAACGTATTTATAAAATGTTTGTAACGGTTACGGATCGCGACAAGCTCCGCACCCACCTCAACAGCTAAATTTTAGCGATTGTAGATCCTAACACAAAAAATAAGTTCAGCCTTTATACTTCTGTTTAGTTTTATCGAAACCTGAATAACAGACCTATTGTTTTGTTGATAATTATTATTGTTTATCGTTCTTAATCACCCGTCCAGCGCAAAAAGTTCAACTCGTTTCGACAACTCAGAAGTATTACTTTTATCCGTAGGGCAATTAAAAACTATTATATTAATTTATTATTACAGCTCAAAAACAGATATCTGATTTTTTACTTACATAAAGGTCCTTTTTAATCAGACTTTGCACTATTTTGTATGCAGATTACACTCGAAACCACCCAAAATTGGAATTTAATTTCGGAGCGACACTTCTTCTTCACGTGCCATCTCCGCTACGAAGGTTGGCTATGGCAATTTTGACCCTGGAGGCTGCCGCTCGGAACAATTGTATGGAAGTGCAAGCAAACCACTCCCTGAGGTTTCTCAACCATGACATTCTTCTCCTACCTATGCTGCGCCTACCTACAATCTTTCCTTGCATAATTAGTTGTAACAGTTGATATTTATTCCCACGTGTAATATGTCCCAGGTATTGTAGTTTCCTCATTTTAACACTCAATACGACCTCCTTTTGTTTGTTCATCCTGTCTAATAGAACTTGGTTAGTTATCTTATGCTTCCAGGAGATTTTTAACATTCTTCGGTACGCCCACATCTTAAATGCCTCTGGTTCACCCATACATTGCTTATTTAGTGTCCACGCCTCCACCCCATATAACAGGACCGAGAAAACATAACATTTAAGCATTCGTATTTTCAGCTTTAGGCTTAGGTTTTAGGCTTATGGAGCGACACTACACACGTCCAACTAGTACGATTGCCAGAACGATTCTCATAAATGTTCTAACTAACATGAAAGTTATAGTGAAAATTAAAATTTTAAATTTCCACTTTAACACCCTGTATCTTTCTTAATATCAACGTTTTATTAAAGCAATTTGGCTTAAATCGTAATATTTTAAAGTGTAGAATCTACGGTTTCTTTTCGTACAATTACTAAGAACCACCCTATATATGTTCGGGATTTTGTCCTACACTCTTTCAAATAGGATATCTGGTGATAGGAAGGTATACGGACTTTCTATGGTCTACGAGGTCTCCAGACCTTACCCCTACAGATATCTTTTTGTGAGAGAGAGAGAGAGAGAGAGAGAGAGAGAGAGAGAGAGAGAGAGAGAGAGAGAGAGAGAGAGAGAGAGAGAGAGAGAGAGAGAGAGTAATACATAAGAATGCAAGGCTATTACATCCTATGTAATTGGAAATTTTATTAATAAACTTAATCGAAGACAATCGCCTGTTTAGAAAAGAACGGTGGATAGGGCTAACTTGGGAATTCACATAATATCCATCAGAAAAGAATATCAGAGCAGAGTGCTGAGAACGAAATTACTATAAATATACTATATCTATAAATATAAAAATGTAGTTACTTACCAAATAAACCACAATAAGAGCGATGTCTTCCTCAAGGAAGGTACCAGTAAATCTTTAAATCTTCCCCGATGCAAAGAAGAGGTAAACGAATCATCAACGACTAATCTACCCAGCAGCATGGGTTTGCCGTTATCTTTTGCTATCTTTTCCAACGTTTCTAAGGCTTTGTCAGTTTGGCCACTGGCGACGTGATACCTTGCAGATTCTGGTAACCACTAAATAAACAAGTCAATATTAAAATGACAAAAATATAGAAAAATGTCTATATAAAATATAATATTCTATATAAAAAAGAATATAAATTAAATAAAATGTAATATTGATTTTGGTTATGGAATATGGTTCTTCTTAGAGCCTACTTTCAGTCGTGTTGTGATAGGTATGTCAAGTAAAACAAAGATTTATTTTAAATATTTAAAAACATCGCAGGCTGAAAAAGGGAGAATATATTAATGTCTATTAGATAAACAATTTTTTTGTATGTACAGATAACATTGTTTTATTGACCATACAACACAGTGGCAATCGCTGTGACATGTTACACGTTTCCACCTCTATATTGATTTCACAGTAGGTACGAATTGTCGTAATTGTCACGTTGACATTAAAAATTTCAAACGAAGTTCTGAAAAAATAAACAAATAATTAATAAAATGTCTATTACGTTGTATACCGTCATGTAACTTGTAACATAGTGTACAAATTGCTAGGGAAGTTAACGTGAATTCTCGAATTGTCCAGCGAGTTGACCAACCAGGTGTGTTTGTCCTTACACCTTGTGCTGATGCCTTTGTTTTGCGCACCAGTCATAGGTCGCTGGTTTTTTCCTTGGGGAACAAGTTTTGTCCTTGGGGAAATAGGTTCGTTCACTTTGTATACTTCTTTGAAGGACCACCCAGAAAACTGGGACAAATGAAAGTTTCGAAAAGAATGTTTTAACAAGTCTATTTAAACAATTACAGCGTATTTTTGACGCCGATAACTTGCATACGATAGCCGATTTATGAAACTAAACTTTATGAAGCTAAAAAACTAGATAACTTGTCGGTGTTACAATATTGACACGAACTGATTAAACTTATTAATATACCGACTGTGTTAAACCTCTGAGGTTCGGCTGGCGCAAGCTCGAGCCTAGCGCTCATCCAATGCTGGATTTTGAACTGGTACTGATCACTTCCTTCAATCACTCGGCTCGCAATTTTCTTAACGTTCAGAAATCTCCCCCCTGACCCCCTCGACGTATATAAAGAATATGTTTACATTTCGAATGCCTTCGACTTTCATTTTATTGGTAAAATAACCTGAGAAGGGCAACTTTCGTTAATGTTGGGAAATTTCAAATGACTCAAACCGATAATTTGGAATTACTAGTCCTTTCATTTTTTAGATTCTTTGACGATTTTAGAAGCGAAGAAGACGATTTCATTTTTTATGTCTAGAAAGTTATTTGAATGCAAGCTGTCGGCGAAGTACAGATTATTATATGGTACAAAGGAATTTTATAAATCTAAACTAATATGCAGTGTAATATAATGAATGATACAAACTCAAAAGGAATGGGTATCACTGTTTTACTATATAACCAACACAAGAACTGTTTCCGGAAGAACTTAAGGCGAATGAAGTTTTGTGAATAATTTATGTTAGATAAACAGAATGAAAATGTACACTTTTTGAAAAATATTTTATTTTCTGACGAATCTTCATTTTCATTATATAAAAAACACAATCTATTCGTTGCAAGGTATTATTCTCGGAAAAATAAGCACCTCAGTATTGCAGTGCGAACGCAGCATCCGCAAAAGTTAAATGTTTGGACAAATGTTAGGCGACCATACTGTCGGTCCATTTTTTATCGATGGAAACCTAAACGGGCCCAAATATTTACGACTTTTACAGAATGAGATCATTCCGACAGTTCGACGCCTTCCCGTTAATTTTCAGGAGGTTTATTTCCAAGAGGATCGGTGTTCGGCTCACAACTCTAGAGCAACTATTGACTTCCTCAACAAAAATGTTTCCTGATCGACTGATAAGTACACGTGGTACAATTAAATGGCCCGCTAGATCCTGTGACTTAGGGCCTAACGATTTCTTTTTTTGGGGTTTTCTCAAAGAAAACATTATAGGCATCAGTTTGAAAGGTACACAAACCTAGTCGAATTAAGGGCAAACATACTTTATTCCTCTGCCAGCATTACAACAGCCCTACTCCAAAATATGAGGAAAAATCTGTATGACAGATTGGGTTACTGTTTTGTACAAGGAGGTAGAATATTTGAGCCCTTAATTCATTAATCTGCTTTCCTAACTTTTATTTTTTGTTAGGTACATTTTACGAAGTTTGTAGGTTCTTAATTAGGTTTATGTTTAATTTTGAAAGAATTTTATTGTTTTTTTTTTTTATAATTAAAGGTACAAACGATTCTTATTCTGATTTTTTTTCTTCTTTCTGGTCTTATTATTATAAGCTTTGTCCATAAAATTTGTACAATTTTTAGTGACAATAAAGCATATTACTTATTTACTTACTTATTTGTATTGCTATTAAGGCTAAAAAATATGCAAAAAATTAGTCTTAGAGCATTATAATAAATATACTCCATTGGGATGGGATTACAATAAATCTTAATTCCTATGGTCAACAAATCAATCTCATTATCTATCTCGCCGCGAGAAGAACCATACCATATCAGCTATTTTTTTTTAAAAATACGTGAAATATTATCTCCGGTTTCCCTTTTAGATGAAATATTGATTATATAATGTTTTTCTCACCATTTGATAGCACGTTAAGCTAATCAGGTTAAATCATCTGCATAAAAGTTCCAATTATTACATTGATTTAACTATATGTTGTACAGCATTATGAGACTCTACAAACTATTTGTTAAAAACTACAACAGTACTACAACAACAGATTTTTATATAGGTAGGTATAGGTGATGAATTTTGGGAACAGCTATGACCTTGAAAATGCCACAAAGAATATAACTAAATATCTCTTTTCTTACTCAGACTCTTTAAAGTCTTTTACAATATTTTAGAATCGAAGATATGTAATTATATTATTATTGTATTGTATTTTGACAAGAGCTATGCATTATGCCTATTTAGTACACAAGTTTATTTGAAATGTTCAAGGTCATAGCTGTTCCCAAAATCCATTACCTCTATGTAATATTAAATTCGAGATACTTCTGGGCATTTCTGCGGGTCCGGTTTAATAGTTAGAGAATATTAAAGACGTATCGGTCATCTTCGATAATATCTGGGTGATACCGAAGTTGTAGATCACTCATCCGACTGGAGAACAAGCCTGGTATCGTGATAATCAATTATAATGACACGAGGACAGAGTCACAAATTTGCTTGTACGATTAGGAAATTCATCAGTTAATATAAATTTTCTGTATAAACATCGATATTAAGGTTGATCTGCACCCTATATTAATTTGTTTCTGATCCTACATATGGCTGCACTGCGGCATGCTGCTCTGGTAAATTTTTTAACTTAATTGTATATTTCTACGTGATGGCTCTGTAATATTTTCAAACCCTAACATAAATTATAGTTTTCTATCGTTATATCCATTGTCTGACTTGCCAAGTTGTGTAGACAGTAATTTTATCAAATACGCTTTACCATTTCAGGCTGATAACTTTATTACTATAGTAGACCAAATAAATGAAGATATCTGTTACAACATATTCATGTATAATATTTTACTGCTCTGTTTTAACAAACATGTTTTAATGGTTTTTGTTTAATTTTTTGTGACGTATAATGTAGGTTTACCAAATAATAAAAAGTTACGCTTTTGCAGGAACATATTGTTATTAGAAAAATAAGGTTCCATACACTCATCAACAAAGAAATTATGCAGGTACTTAGGCGGTGATATCTGTTAATATCGTATTACCATCAATTCATACTCGTCATCATATATTACTTTTTTGTTAATATAAGATAGTTAAAAATTAAATGATCTGGTATTATTTAATATCTCAGTGGGAAATACATTTAGGTAAATGGTTAATCGTCAAAAATGTTTCAGATTTGTTATCTTCCTAATTAGTGCAACTTCTTCCCCTCTTTGTATGTGTCCAAACCATCTCAGTCTTTGTGCATTCATAAATTTTACTATGTTTTTACTATATGTATTTTTTTAATACTAACAGAGTCTAGATACTAGTAGCTATTTCATGAAAATGATTTGTAATATTTTTTGTTAAATGATTGGCATATTCAATTTTTCTTATTTTACGACAATAAGAAATCTTTTCAAAAAAATTTGAGTGGACGCTGGAATCATAATCACCAATGAAGGTTGTCTATTGAAGGTTGTGCACGCTTTCACTTTTTAAAAACCCATAAGTATATCAACCTCCATTGCTGATTATGATCCAGTCCAATTTTTGTAACATATATGAGGTTTTATTGTTTGTTTTCGTTCATTAATATCATATATACCACAATACTTATTGTGAGTTTCTATCAAAAGTAGTTTTTTGTATGAACTACAATAAAGCATGCTATGTCGGATTTTGATGTGTATTTATATCCATACGAACGGTGACTCCATCCACCATCAACAACCACTGCACATTGACCAATTCCTCCTGGTGTCACGTTTTGGGTTTCTAAAGCTTTCTGGTATTCTTCCTCCCCTGCTGCTTGAGCCGCATCAGTTAATCATTGCTGACACGTTTTGGCTCTCGTATGACACGTATTGCTGACACTCCGATATGGGCTGTCTAGGGCGATTAGGAGTTAGACCAGATTTATAGGAAGACGGTGTCGTTTTTAAAAACCCACCCTAATCTTCTCGTTCTTACTAGTGATAAAGGCAATGTCTCAGTCTCAGTCAATCGTTGTTAGATGATGATAGATACTGTCAAGCTTACCTTACCAACCCTTGCTCCAAATTCACTAATAAAATAAATAAATTCATAACTCATTTAAAAACTTGATCATGGATCAACCACTTGCTAAATTTTTACATAATTACGATGGATATGCTCCCAGATTTTATTGTCTACCGAAAATACATAAGCCTACATTGAGAATGAGACCTATTGTGTCATCAATTAATTCACCTAATATTAATATTTCAAAATTTTTAACGGACATCTTATCTAAATCTTATAATTATAACAACAACTTTAATATTGTTGATTCATTTCACTTTAGTGAATTTATTAATAACTTTGAACTTCCTCAAGGTTACATTTTAGTGAGTTTTGATGTGGTATCTCTTTTCACTAATTTACCTCTTTCCAGTGTTATAACTTCCTTAAGAAATCATTGGAATTGCATCCAACCTAACTGTCCTGTTTCCTGGGATGTATTTGCAGAATTGTTGCAATCAGTATTTGACACTAATTTTTTGGTCTTTAATGACAAATATTATCTTCAAATTTTTGGCACACCTATGGGTTCCTCTGTCTCTCCCATCCTAGTTAATTTTGTATTAGATGATTTAGTATCTGACCACTAATACGTTAACACGGAATTATGAAGGATATAAATACTAAAATAATTAACTAAAAACGCCTAATTAGGTTTTTAAAAACTAAATAGGTTTTTTACAGATATATTAATTGTAGATTGTAAATTTTATGATATCTTAATTTCAAAACAAAAGTTATAGTATTTCCTATTCTGTAAGTTTAAGCATGACCAGTTCAAAATTCAAACCGATAACATTCTTATTAAATTTTGTTGTAATCTGCCAAAGGGTTGTACAAACTAATTGATATAGCAATCCTGTTAGCATGACGTTTCGTTTGAAGCGTTTCGAAGCCGAAAGTAATGCTATCTATCGATAATAAATATTACCGATGTTTCAGATGGAGCCATCTCTCTATAACACAATTTGATGGCGGCAGTTCAAGATATAATTCTTGTTTAACGAGAGTTTAACGAGAGAGAGAGAGAATTCACGTCTACAGTTTTATATAATATGTTGTCATTAAAATTTTGTCTGGTTTCTTACCGGTAGCTTTATTATAAGCCGGAACATATTATTTTTTTTTATATCATAAAAATTTTTACATTTTATATTATAAAATTTTCAAAAAATTCAAAAGTATTTCTTAGGATTATATCTTTATGCTGTAAGAAAATTAACAAAATTCTATGTTTGGTTTTCTCGCTTTATACTTGGAAAAAAGTAGTTTTTTTGACTTTTTTCGAAAACGAAAACATAATTTGTTAAAATATTTCTAGTTATCACATACACCTCAAATTTTTTCAATGTGTAGTTTGTCTTTTGGAGTATGCATATCAACCTTAATGTGTCAAATTACTAAACATTGTTTAAAACATTTTTTTTAATTAGTAAGGTAATCGTATTTTTGAATCTATTACAAGACTAACGTGCTATCAAATACCTAGAAACGCTATATTTAATATTTCTAGCTTATTAAACATCAAAACAATTAACAAAACCATACTTACTGGACATATCAACGCAAAGGCGAGTAATGGCCCCGTGGACAAAGCTAGAAGCCAATGCCAGCCTAACGTGGGCATTATAACTAACGCTAGAGCCACTTCAAAGCATGCACCTAACGCCCAAAAACACTACAAAAAAACAAATGAAACTAAACAGCCCTAAACCGCGTAATTTGTCACTTACATCAAGCAACACGACACATTTGGCTCTCTGCTTTGTCGGTAAAAATTCAGCATACAAAGTAACACTACAAAACAAAACGAACAAAAATAGTAGATACACGAGAGATATATAACTTAAGAAAACAAGGAGCAATGGGTTCGCACTGCACAGTGGATAAAATGCAAAAAAACGTGTCAAATAGTATTTATTACGATTTATACATATTGGCCTTATACCCCTCTGAATCAACTTTTTTCTGAATCATCTTTAAATTTAGATTATAATCGATTTGGAAATGGATGACAATACAGTTGTTATAGCAGTAGATTACAATAGTTTTATATAGGACTGCTTAAATCAGAAAAATTAATATCTTTTTGTCTCTGTTTTGTACTATATTATATTACTTACTGACTGTGCTATCAATTATTCTCAAAAGCAAAACAATAAATTTTATATTTAACCCTTTAATCGGCAAGACCGTCTACAGGCAGTCTTTACTCTAACCTAAGTATTCTTTCAATAGGTGTGATCAAGCTGAATGACAAAACCGTTTGTAGGTAGTCTGTAGCTTTATTTGATTTACAGCAGCTGGCATTTGTGTCGAGACATTCGTGGGATTCCGACGCTAAAATTATTTGTGTTACGGGCAACAACAATAAATTTTAAAAAAGTACTTTCTAGTTGAGAAATAAACACGAAAATTTTTGTGTGGAGTAGTTACTATGTATATTTATTTTTGTGTGGAGTAGTTACTATGTATATTTATTGATTTACTACTGCGTGTGGAGGAAATAAGCAGTGGATTTGAAATATCGCGCATTTAATGAAGGCCGTCTGCAGACGGTCTTGTCGCTTAGTTGCAAAATTTTGTAATCTTTTCTTATGATTATGAGTATTTTTGTTCTTTAGTTTACCTACTAAACGTGAGGTTATTATATTTTTATGTAGAAATTGAAGGGTAAACGTGGTGTAGAAGGATGTAGGAGAGCATGGGCGACAGAAAAAGGATTCGATGTCTCTAATCCGAGTGAAAAAGAAGTAATAGACATTATGGAACTGTTTATGGATGAAGAAGATGTTGATAACGTACACAGTGATCCGGATTACGAGTGTGATGAAATAACACCTTATGGAGGCCATACACGTTAGGGTTTACATGATGGTTTTAACCTTACATGCATAACCGACAGGTATAACCGAGTTCCATAAAGTACATACACGTTAGAGTTTGCATGCACAGTTTTGCCATTAACTCTTCTGTTAAGCTACGTGACAGTTTGTGCAGGTCGCCTATGATACTTTGTGCGGTATATACCCACCAAACTACAGTGGACGACAACGATGTGATAGCTGTACTTGGCTTGACAGTTATTCTTCAGAAAAGAAAAAGAAAAGAGAGATCGCACTGAATGGTCTAAGCGCTGGGTATTAAAAAGAAATCATTTCTCACACGTAAATATGACAGGCAAGCTCGCCGGACGCCACACACGCTAGAGTATGCTCACAGGGAAGCAAAACCGAGCGACATAACCGCATAAAATATGAATTTTCATATTTGCTCAGTTGCATGTACATGCACCGATAAATGTACAGTTTTATCCCATACACGCTAGGGCTTGCCTGTCCGTTATGCATGCAAGGTTAAAACCATCATGCCAGCCCTAAGTGTATGGCCTCCATTAGGATAATGAGATGATAACTAAATGCATGCAATACATAGATTCAACCACTACATTTATACAGGCTGCGAACTTATCACTGAATATCAGTAGTACTTCACTCAGTTCGACCTATGCTACTCCAATAACACAAACTTTCACTCCTGAAGCGGCCATTGTGATTAGAGATAAATCTCCACCAATCACAGAAACAGTAGCATCGACAGCAGAAGACACAACCACAGTGGCAACAACAGTAAATTCGACAGCGATAGCAACAACGTCAGCAGCAATACCTGCATCTACATCCAAACCACCGAAGAGACCAACATCATTGTTACTGACTTTGAAAGCTGCCGCCCCAAGAGTAGTGCCATCAGTAGGTGGGTTCACTGGAGGAGCTCTGTACATATGAATAAAAAAAATTAAGATGTACTGATTATTTTTTTACTTTCAGCGTTAATAAATATTGCAAATGATTCACAGGAATGAAAGAATATTCTGTGGCGTGAACGTTCAATGTAGTTTGATCATTGGACATTATCAATACAGGGAGCGCTAATAAACAAATGGCCGTAAAACTCGCAGCAATCAGTATAAACAAATTTTTTGGACACGTAAGTGATTTTGAAAGCTTCTATGAACCATTCGACACACTGATAATAAAAAATCAGTCCCTTTCTGACATCCAAAGATTTCTTTCTTTCTCAAAAATCTCTAGGGTGATTCTCTAAAGTTGGTAGAGTCTTTGAAAGTCACAAATGAAAATTTTTCAGTTGCTTTGGATATTCTAAAAAACCGCTATCAAAATAAGGTCACAATCATAAATTCTTATTTAACAGAAATTCTAGACGTTCCTACACTGACAAACAGCTCACAACAGATTCTCAGAAATTTTCTAACTACGGTAAGTAACAAAAAATATGCAACTGCTAAAAAATTTGCAATTTTTAAGTTCAGAGCTCATTGACATAATTTTAGTTTTTCTGCTAGAAAGCAAATTAGACTTTTCAACAAGGAGACTTTTTGAAACTGAGCGAAATCAGATGTACAAAATTTAGATGCTTTTCTTAAATTTCTAGAAAAAAGGTGCATTTATCTGGAAAGTCTGGAAAATATAAATCCTAGGCAAACCAAAAACGTAAAAGTCTCACATCATGAATACAGTAATAACATATCAGAGGATTCAAATAAAAATAATATTTCAAATAATTTAGTTTCTGACTTTTATTGTATTTACTGCAAAAAACAAGGACATAAAATTTATAAATGTCAATTTTTCAAAAACATTCAGCATAATGAAAAAATAAAATTCGTAAATTCAAAAGGTCTCTGCGTAAACTGCCTAGGTAGGCATAATTCTAAAAACTGCTCCTCAAGACATGCATGCACCATATGTAAAAAAGCGCCATAACACTGTTCTTCACATTTCGGGTAAAGATTATACTTTTTCTATGACCCACAACAATGAAAGTCCGTCAACTTGTACAAATTCAAACAATTACAAACGCGAACATTCGTCTAATTCAAATTTTCAAGGTCCTTCGGTTCACGGGCAAGAACCTCTTACAAATTCTTTTTCTGCTTTGTCCGTAAAAAATTCAAACATACTTCTAGCTATGGCCAGAGTCACCATTTTCGACAAAAACCGGAGCTCTTTAACGGTCCGATTGTTACTCGATACAGGAAGTCAGAACAGCTTTTGTACCCAGTGTCTCGCTGATAGGCTGGGTTATAAGCCATATGACATTTCTCTAAATATCTTTGGCATAGGCCAAAATAATTCTGTTTCAAAAAAGATGGTCAACATAAAAATCTAACTTTAATAAAAAGTATTTCAAAATTTCATGTGCTATCTTAGAAAATATTACTTGCAATCTTCCACACTTCCGCATTCTTACAAAAAAGTTACCAATTCCAGGGGATGTTTTTCTCGCCATGATTCTGATCACAGACCCAGTCAAATAGATATTTTGGTTGGGGCAGATTTGTACTACGACCTAATTCTTCCGGAAATAATTCCTCTTGGCCCCAGGCTACCAATTTTGCAAGCTTCGCAAATGGGGTACCTAATTATCGGCGTGATAGCTCCTCACTTGTACACTTATGGTAGCACTTGTCCAAGAGTTGACTCTAAACTTTACATGGCTTCATATAAATTGTTTCCAATCTAGAAAATTACAAAGTTCTCAAAAACCTGCCCGAGGAACGAAAAATAAGCCTCGTGGTAAATTCTAGTGGAGAAAACTTCTGGATGAAAATTTTTTCATCCAGAAAAAATCATACCGTCAATCTTATCATCAAAAATGAACATCTGAGATTGGGACATGCTGGAACAGTTCTCTCAAACCTTCGGTTGCAATTCTGACCTCTCAATGGTCTAAAGGAAGCAAAACGAATTATTTGCAACTGCATCACATCCGATTTTCGTGCACTCCTGCACAACAGCTAATGGGTAACTTACCTGAAGATAGGTTGTCCATTACAACAAGACCCTTTCAAAAAATAGATGTAGACTATGGTGGACAATTTCTGTTAAATCTTCTTCACTCCGAAAAGCTCCAAAAATCAAGGCATACATAGCCATTTTCGTGTGCATAGTGACCAAAGCTGTGCACATTGAGGTTGTTTCTGATCTAACAACTTCTTCCTTTCTATTAACACTCAAAAGGTTCATTTCCCGACGGGGCAACCCAACCGTCATTTACAGTGACAATGCCACATGTTTTTCTGGTGCAAGAAACCAACTCTATGACTTATACAAATCTCATGGAAGTTTATTCCCCCTAGATCTCCTCATTGGGCTGGGATCTGGGAAGCATTAGTAAAAAGAGCTACATATCATATACGTAGACTAATAGGCTCTTCTTCTTTCACTTTCGATCAGTTTTATACTGTCATGGTTCAAATTGAAGCTGTGATGAATTCAAGGCCTATCTGTGCCATGTCCAGCGACCCTTCTGTTTACACTTTTCTCAGTCCTGGGCAATTTATACTTAGAAAAAATTCCGGTAAATAAACTATCCGTGTTTCAGCAAATTGCAAAAGTACAACAAAGTTTCTGGAAAATGTGGTCTGTTGACTACTTAAACCGCTTACAAAACTCTCCAAAATGGTCCCGACCAAGGAATAACATAAAAGTCAATGACTTAATTCTTCTGAGAGAGGACGATGTACCTCCTCTAAAATGGCCTCTAGCCCGGGTAGTTGATACAATGCCCGGTCAAGATGGCAAAGTCAGAGTGATCAAGTTGAAGACCATCAATGGTCAATTTACAAGGGCAATCTCTAAAATTTCGGTTCTCCCTAGACAAGATAAAGAAGAGTGGGTTAGACCACAAGGCTCTAACGCCGGGGGGAATGTTGGAGAACTATAATCTCCAATCAAATAATTATATATCAAAACAGATAATTCTATTTCGTAACAAATAAATATTTTCGCGCCGGTTACATAAATAAATCCAGTCTGCATTGACTTGTTTCTGGGAATGTTAATCTCCGCCTACTTGACCGTAGACCGGCCGAAATTCAAAATGCATAAACAAGTATTTTCGGAGGGGCTGCGGAAAGACAGTGAATTAGCGACAGGCGTAGGGCTTAAGACCTTTCAAGTTTCGGAGAGATTTTCTTCACGCTCGCAATTTACGTAATAAATCGGAAACGATAATGTGTGAAGTGTTATGGAGTTTTCGTTCGTAAATTGTAAATTTATAATTAAGTTCCTTACGTTTAGTTATTCACTCACAATTTATAACTTTCTATTTCTTGTCCTTTTTCAATTACAGTTCTAGCTAAACAAGCAATTGTTTTATTTCACTTTATATCTATTCAACAGGCCACATTAAAGCACCTTTAAAAGTCCATTTAAGTTTCTTTACTGAGCTGTCGAAGGCTAGCGGACCAATTGGACTTACAACAAGTACAAAACCGCTGAAAGAGACACTGTTAGCATACAAGACTCACCCCGGAATGGATGTTGAAAACCGGCATCCCTCCAATACCATCTACTGGACATGGTGATTACCAATGTCTTCGTTCTTTATCGATGCGTAAATGTCAAGAAAAATCAGAATGTCTTTGATTAAAGTGAAAAGACAAAGACATGACGCTGCAACAATTTCGATTGAAAATAGCTAAAGAGCTGTGTGCTACTACTGAAAAGTGTTGTCCTGATGGACAACCATTGTCCGTTCCACAGCCATCTAGTAGTTCTGCCATCGGTAGACGAGCTGTTTATCAGGTGGATAGTGTATGGTGATATGACGGATTAAAATATTGGCCCGAATGGGGATCGTAAAAGTAGTGCAAACTGTGTATAAGGTCTGACACTCATTCCTTTGAACCAAGTGCAACCTTCATTTGTCCAACAGGAAAGGTAAAATTTGCTTCGCATCACACCAAAGCCTGATACCTTTTTGTTTATTTACTTGTAGTTTTTTTTCAATAAAAATATTTTTGTACAACCAATAAATTATGGTGTTTTCATCAATTTCACTTCTGAACGACAAGACCGTCTGCAGACGATCTACCATTTATTGAGCTGGACACCAAAACACACACACACACACACACACACACACACACACACACACACACACACACACACACACAATATCGCCAAACTGACCTCAGATTCGTTTTTCCCACCCAAATTACCCTAAGACCAAAATTCCTGAAACTTAAAACCGGCTATTTCTATCTTGCCGATTAAAGGGTTAAACTATTTTGGAGACTAGTTCAAAATAACGGGTTAGTCTAAAAGAAATATTAATTTTGAATAGCATTTTAAAACGAATCGCTCAAATATCTAGGAACACATTGAGTAATACAGAGCTTTAAAATAAAGCATTACTTGCCATATGATCGTGATTATCTTGCAAAATGGCACTTGTCCAGCATTTTAAGTAATACAGTACATTATACAAAATAATGTACGGATATCGTCGTTAGCCAAAATTGTATCGATTAAAGTTTTATGTATGGTTCAGAAAGTAACTGGAGTTGAGTTTAGAGAGAGAAGAGAGAGAGAGAGAGAGAGAGAGAGAGAGAGAGAGAGAGAGAGAGAGAATTTATATGTACACAATGCAACTAAATAAACATACACAACAATTAATTTCCAAAATTTACTTACGATTGGGGCGTGCAGCCAATGGCAAAACCAACAAGTCCTCGTAACAGTAAAATCCACATAAAACTGGGTGCTGCCGCACTTAGCAATCCATAATAAAAAAGGAGTATAGCACATAAGGTCAAAGCCTAAAAATAAAAATATGCAGTAACAAAAAAAGCGAAATAAAATTAAAAGAAGAAGGAAAAGAAAGAAATATAAGGTAAAGTCGTAGAAGAATAAAAGACCAATTAATCTAGTGCAGCAGGACCAGTGATGTAAGAGACTTATTACTATTAATTTCTGAAAATATAACTAGATCTTTGGACAATCGCGAATGTTCTTGATCCATCACATCTGCTTGTTAAAATTTCATTAAAATAAGAAATTTTGCCTTATTTTATTAGTTCTCAGTAACCCATGAATGTTATTTGCCTCATTGGTCTGCATTTGCATAAAAAAATGAAAAAGTTGAAGCAGCCTGCTTTAGCTCATGCCATTAGCTAAAGTTATTTCGCCTTAGGAAGTCACCATAATATTCTATTTAATACAGTATTGTTTCAAGTAATTGATTTATTTGTCCTCAAAGTACATAAATTGTTCAAATGTGTCTGTGTATGTGATAGTGTACTACACTGCCTTCAGCGGTCTACATGTTAAAGCTTACTAAACGGTATTAAATTCAATTTTGAATATCTATGTTGTTAATCTTGTTATTTCATTTATATAAGCTTTTGTTATGAGAATAATTACTAACAGACTGGGACCTACGCTAGATTTTCACCAACCACTAGAGCAAGTCAGATTTTTGAATGACTTGAATGAATGACATCTACAAGTAATAAAATCCTTGCTAGAGAAAGTTAAAAAATACAACAAGCCATTGATATTAATATTTGTACACTTTGAGAAAGCATTTGACTCAGTCCATCATAGCTTCATGTTGAGAGCTCTTATAGAGTGCTCTATTGATAATAGATATACAACTCTTCTTAGAAATGTATATAATAGCGCAACAGCTGCAAGGAGACACCATCTCTCCTCAACTATTCACCACTTTATTACAGAGTGTCATGAGAAACAATAAGTGGGAAAATATTGAAGTCAACATAAAGGGGGAGTTTCTGAACAACTTAAGATTTTCAGACGACATAGTGTTTGTTTGCAGACCGGATAGGTCATGTCTGTTAACTTCTTCAAGACCTTCAGAGCTCTTGTACACGAGTTGGCCTCAAAATTAACTTTTCCAAAACACAATACATGACCAACCTTGTACTGGCCAAAAACATTTCAACTAATGACACGCAAATTGAACAAGTTTATACATCAGATATTCCAATGTGCTTGACAAGAAAGGTCTTTGATCAATGTGACTTCCAGTTCTAACCTATGGAGGAGAAACATTGACCCTTAGTATAAAATAATCAATAAGATACAAGTGGCACAGAAAGCAATGGAGATGTCAATGTTAAATATATTCCTCAGAGACAGAGTTTCTCAAATAGTTAGAAGAAAAACTGGTGTTGCGGACGCAGTTTCCAGAGTCAGGGATGGAAGAGGGACCAAGACAATTTTATAATGGAGACTTAGACACGATGCTTATCATAATCTAGGACGTCCTCCAACAAAGTGGTCAGCAGACATCAAGCGCAATAGCACAACTGGATTCAGGGTGCTTAATATCGCATGGAATATGGAATGGAATTATTTACGGGAGGCCTATGTTCAGCAGTGGACGCAAAACGGCTAATGATGATGTTTAAGAATAATGGTATAATAAATGTGCAATACAATTTTTTACATCATCGGAGTATACGGCCCAGTAAAAAACAAGCCTCAAACAATAAGGGAAAAGTTTTACGACGAATTACAAGTAGTAGAACAAGTCAGAGGGAATATGATCATATTGGAGGATTTTAACGCTCGAATAGGCAATCAAGTAATACCCGGAATTAAGTAAAAACATAGTAAGAATTTTAAAAACGAAAATGAAGAACTGATGATAAACTTCTGCACGCATAACGAACTTAGAATAAACAACACATTTTTTGACCACAAAGACCAACACAAATATATATTCAATAACAACCGTGGACAAAGATCTATGATAGATTATGTTATAACCGAGGTATACATCCATCAAAAATAATTCGAATTGACGTAAGATGACTCAACTCAGCAGATGTAGGTAGCGACCATAGCCTAGTATTATGTAAAATAAGAAACATCATGAAATACTTCATACCCAAGAGAGTTGCGGCGCTAGTATAAATAAAAATCAGAGTCGAAGGATTAAATACGGAATAGGGAATGAAACATTAGAAAACGATAACATCGAGAAAAGCTGGGAAAACTCAAAAATAACATTATTAACGCAGCAACACAATCACTTGGGGAAAAGTAGGTAACGAAAACTAAGATATTAAAATAGAAAACCTCGTGGTTTAGAGACAAAATGAATACAAAATGTAAAGAAAAGAAGAAATCCTTTTTACAATACAACAAACACAACAGGCATACAACCACCATAAATGAACCAGAAATGACACAAATACTTTAGTTAGACAAATAAAAAGAGAACACTAGCAGAACTTCTCAAAACAGATGGAACGCAACTTCTACGGAACACAAAAAGAAATACATGACTCCAATTGTACATTCTCTAAGCCAAGGGTTCCCGTGCAAAGTTCAAGCTGGGACAAAGACGTTGCACACTAGAGAGACTTAAGCCAACATTTCTCGCAGTTTCGCGCTGACTAGCGCCATCTTCTAATGCCGCCACAACAGAACATATGTTCAAACTACGGAAAAAAAAACTACGCTGATAATGGTTTTTAAGAAATAGGGTAAGAGTACCGCCCCTTTTTATCTCAAATGCTTATTGAAACAGCAACAACAATTTTTTCAAACAATCCATTGGTAACTATGTTACAACTGAAAATAGTTAAAAAAGAATAATACTTTCTAAAATAAATAAAATTAGTGGGTAACCCTAATTTTATGCTCCGCAGGCAGTGTACAACATGGATGCAAGGTGGACAATATCAAGGACTTGTTAAGAAATAGAAGAGTAAAATGAAACGATCATATAAGCTGAATGACAACAAATAGTGTAATAAAGACAGCAAAAGATGGTTCCCCAATAGGAAGATGATTAGTAGATGACCAACATAAACAATGGAACAACAACTTACTTGTGGCACATTGAAAAACAGACAGTCATGTCTACATAAAAAGAAGAAGAATTTTTTGTACCAAGTATCATGTTGGTGTAAATATCATCTATAACTGCATGAGATGTACTAGGTTTTTTCCACCCACACAAATGACAAAAGAAAATTAGTTTTATAAACAAATATATACTGTTAATTAAACCACTTAAATTACTTTTGTTAAAATCATACTTTTGTGGACACCTTTACAAGTATTCCTACCTGGAATAACAGGTAGGAATCCACAAATGGTGGTCTGTGGTTAATTTTTATTCTTGTTTACATATTGTCAGCAAATTAGCCAGTCTCTTATATCACTCTTCTTACTACGTATTAGGCATAGAAATGAATAATTATATTATCGTGACAAGTGAAGAAAGCAGATACCAAAAATTCAACTAGCAATGTACTTACATGTTTTCTGCCATATCTATCACTTAAGTTTCCCCAAAATGTTGATGATAACATCATTCCCAAAAATACAACAGTAGTAGTTAAAGCTTGCTGATACCTGAAATTTTGTTTTACATTTCCACACAAAATTATATACATAACTTAAAAGACAACAATTTTGACTTACTAGAATTTAAAATAATTTTACATTCTATTGGATATTTTTGCGGAGTTATTTGTCAGGAATGAAATAACCAACAATAAAAGTTGTTTAACGGTGAAACCTGCAACTTTTGTGTAGTCAATTTTTAGTATTTCTTAAAATACTTGACATTATGTGTGAATAAAAGTGGTAAAAGTAGAAAATTTACAGAAAACTTTCAAGTACAGCTTCCAGTGTGTGAATATATTGTACGACTCATACTTAGCTCCCTAGTTAGAACCAAATAAGGGCATTTTTATATAATTTATAGATTATCTTTTTGAGATAGATACCATGTCAAACACATTAGGAATAAAACAACAAAGATGATGGGGTTTGTGATCATTACAGGATTTTTGTGATATTAATTGCCTTAAAGCATTATACTATAGTTTAATAAGGTGATTGGGGAGATGGGACCTTGCAAATTGTGTTATTAATTTCATTGATCCTTGCTGGATGTGGCCATAATCTATAGGACACCCACACATAAATAGTTAATAATATAACACAAGATTAGGGAAAATTTGAACATAGCTAATATATTTTAATGTAAAGTAGCACTATTTTCTTATAGTACCTTAGCCTATTGAAAACACTATCCTAGCATCGACAAAATTTTCAATTTCTAATTTAACTGAGCTGCCACCATGCTTCAGAGGGCACTTAAAGCCATTGGTCCCAGCTACGAAAGTAGTGGTTAAGTCATGTTAGGGGTGCTTGCGCAACCTGAAAATCCTAACACTGGATCTTAGCAAGGTTACATTCTCTTTTTTTTACTGAAAACTAACAGGGATTGTGGTGATATATATATATATATATATATATATATATATATATATATATATATATATATATATATATATATATATATAACACATCTACAAATGATATGTATTAATAAAAAATCTAGTTATTACCTGGATATCTGCCAATCACAATGTAGAGCAGGTGAAAGAATGGAAAGTATAGTCATCTCCATACTATCAGCCATCCAGCAAAGCCCAGTCCATAAAGACAGTTTCACTTGAAACCAACCAAATCCTAAGGCATTCACAGCTTGTGTCACAGTAAAAGTATCTAAAATTCATATTTATTATTATGTATTATACAAAAGTAACTGATAAAACTTAACTTTAAAGTTTACACTTATATTTTAATGGAAAGATATTGTATATAAAAGTAAGTTACAACTGACAAAAACTTGAAAGTATTATATCTCTGTTAAACCTTTGATGATTCCTATATCTTTAGCTTTTGTTTGATTATTTTTACAAGTCTATCCTTTATAATATTCATGGCACTGATTGTTACATTTTTTTGTTATTTACTATATTATTACTTATTAGTATGTTACAGCAAGTACAAGTGATTATACAATTATAACACAGTAGTGTTGGAGAAAAAGTAACTATTCGTTACTTCAGAGTAACTGAAGTAATGAATACATATCTTCAAGCCAAATCGTTACTTTGATTACTTATGTACCAACTACTGACTTACTACCGATACCCAAGTAACATATGAATAACGAGTAGTATATGAGTAACGAGTACTGCTGAAGCGTACCAAACGACGTACAGTACCAATACCGATACGCAGACATATTATGAATAACGAGAGTGAGTATGTAGGTATTTTACAAGTAAGAAAGATAGGATTACTGCTGGAGCCTGGAGCAGAGTCTAATATTAAAATGTTTTGTTGTGATATTGGGTGTGATTATGAACAAATGGAAAAGGAATATATGCCTATAATAAAAAATATTCATTTTATTTATTTAAAAATTGAGTTATTTACTTTATATATTTTTTTTCGTGAAAAAAATTAATTGTAAAAAAAATAACCTGCGATTTTAATTTGTTTAAAGCAGATTTTACACACACCAATGTATCTAGTTTTGTTTTTAAAACATATTTTTCAATTTCCAGATGTTAAAGTTAATAAATAATAAATCAGATATATTTTTATGCCTTAAAACTTATTTTCTTGTATATATAGATACCCATCTCTGAATGAAACCATATGTATGGCTGATAATGTAGCAGCTCCGAAAAAGAGAAAAATTGCTCCCAAATATCGCTCCACTGGCTCCACTAAGAAAAAAAGTAAAAATTATAGTTGAATATTTTCATCGGAGCACAGAAGCCAATAATAAATTAATTGATTTGCAGAAACAAATTAATGAAGGTCAACCTCCTTTAAAATTAAAAAATGACGTAGAAACTAGGTGGAACTCTACATTTTTTATGTTTGAAAGGATTTTGAAAATTCAAGAACCTCTTAATGCGGCTATGGGAGTTTTGCAAATTGATATAGAACTTCTTACAGAATCAGAGTGGTTACAATTAAAAGAGATTTGTTAAGTGTTAAAACCATTTGAACAGATAACTATCGAAATGAGTGCAGAGAAAAATGTTACTCTATCAAAAGTAATCATTGTTGTAAAGGGTTTGCAATCTGCAGTTAAACAATAAAATTAAACAAAATGATATTACTAAAGTGCTACTGAGCTCATAAAACATTATGAACAAGAAATTGTTACGAGATTTAATTCCGTTGAATCAAATAGTTTAATGGCAAACACAGGCAGATTCAAAAGGCAACCCTATTATAGAATTTAAATGAAAACTTAATATTCAGAAAAGAGGTTCCTCTCGACTGGTGGAAATCTAGAGTTTCATTATACCCATATCTCTCAGAATTGGCTAAGAAATATTTATGTATAATGTCTAAATCCGTTCCATCAGAACGACTGTTTTCTAAAGCCCGGATATTAATATCACAACGAAGGAATCAGTGTGATCGGTATGTTTTTACATTGCAATCAACAGTTATATTAGTTTTATATAACATGTTGTACAGAATGTATTTGTATTGTTTTTTTGCAGTTTTGTATTTATTATTGTTTGAGTTGACATATTTCTTTATTAAATTTTTTATATTGAGCTGACATTTATTATTTAAATTTAAATAAAATTTTATTCTATCCAAATAATCCAATTTCAAAAATGTGCCACATATATATGAAGTTTTAAAGTAGCTCCTATTAAATATGAGTAACCAAAGTAATCAGAGTAATCAAAGTAACGAATACTTTATATGATTACTCGATACAAAAGTAACGATTTATAATGATTACTCAGAAGTAACGAAATTCTCCATCACTATAACACAGTTCAAGTCCAATCATTATTTGCTTATTTGTCCCAAATTCCTCCCAACATGTTTCTTGTTGCTTTAGCTAATACAATCTATTTTGACAATGACGAAATGGTAGACTATTTTATCAAATTGGTCAATAATTTTATTTTACAATTTAGTGGTGTCATGCCCAAATATACTTAAAAAACTTACAAGCCCCATAAAACCTATTTTCTGCACTATATTTTAACGCTGATATACTTTTGATAAATTTGTATGTAAAACTTTATTATACACAAATACGTAAATGACCCAAATTGTAAGTTATTTGATAAACATTTACCATCAGGTACAACAGAAACAGAGCCCATTTCAATTTCTTGTGGTATATGGGTCGTATCTGTGGTTGCACTGGTAGCTGTAAGAGATCCATTATTTTCATCTATGTCTTGGTAACCTTTCGTTCGCTTTAAAACCATTTTAAATTAAAAAAAAAAAAAACAATAAATAAACAGGCTAAAATATAAAATTGTTTACGTAGATAACATTTTTACATCCATAACATAACCGTGTTTTGATTTTGATGTCACTGACGTCACTGTCAAACGTCAAACTGGTAAGTCTTCTGGTCTTTTGGCAATTAGTTAAATAAAGGTGATTTGGTTACACAGTGGTGTACAGTGGAATCATCGATATAATTATCGATAAGTGGAACAGATCATAAGAAATTGTAATGGGCGATTAAAAGAAAAGGACGAAAAAGTGTAGGGTGTTCCTTGAAAAGACGGAATAAAATTCGATACCGAAACAAGCAAAAAATGCCTAAACACTGGAATGAAGAAGCAACATACACTATAGAGGACATTACTATCGAAGACATAATTGGACGACTTTCTGCAGAAAAGAACCAACCCACAAAATACATTTTTTGCTTTATTCATGGTACCGCTTTGAATAGTGGTTAAAAATTATAGGCAGAATAGAACCAGACCACAGCAAGTGCATGTTGCCATCTATCAGGTAGTGAACCAATCCACATTACTTCAATCCTCAATGAAGTAATCTGCAGAAAAGATTCAAGTGGGTTGGTTCCAAAGACCATTTACACCAAGGTCTTTGATTGGTTCCATTCTGCAAAACTTGGAAATCACATAGCATAAAATACTTCAGTATTTGGTTCCTTTCTTCAATGACTTGTGGCCTCAGCGGAATGGCCGCTGTAAGGCCGGCATCACTTCCGAAGCACTACCTTTATTCATTCATTCTCCATTCATACACATTCACACTCCTAGTTCGGCATCATTCTCAGAAGGATATTTCCTCCTTCCCCACAGTCAAACTCACGCATTCTAACTCAAAAAGTGTGACCCACTTCACCTTTCAGCATCATTCACTCTACCTTTGCCGTTGGTCCAGCTGTCTTTCTTCCTCTTCCTTTTTTTTGATCACTGCACGGATATAACTGTGTATGTTAATCCAACCTAATTTATTTTCAATCATTCTCTCAATCATTTCTCTCACTGTAACAAAATTCACACCTGTCTCTCTCTCCATTCTGTTCCTTTCCACTATCCATCTGCTGCAATCTAACATCGTATGTGTCACAGTGTCCGAATATCCACAATATAGGCATTCATGAGTAGACTTGTTCTGTCTACTCGTTTCATAAGACTCCTATAGGCCGTTATCTTTACCGCCTCGCTCGAGACTGGTGCTGCGTAGAGAACGATAGACTGTACAACACCGTGTAAGGCCCTCCTCCTTTCGGATTTGGGTCCTCCAATGTTCGGCATTACTCTCCCCAACGCAGCCGCACTATTCGCAGCCTTTCGGACCACCTCCCGAACGTGTTCCCCCCATTTTCCATTCTGGTGCAATGTCACTCTTAGATATTTTACTTGTGTCTTGGGTGTTAGACATACCCCCGCACATTTTAATTCAACACCTTGCCTGTTCCTTGTCCCCTTCAGAATAATGGCTTCGGTTTTCTCTGTCGCAAGTTTTAGTCCGTGCTGCGTCATCCATTTCTTTACGACGCCACCTGCGTTCCGAACCCGGTATTTGAGATCTGGCTCATCCCAGGCTACTACCAGTACAGCGAGGTCATCCGCGAATGCGAAGGGGGTTGTACCCTCTCCGTATTCACAGTGCATAACCCCGTCATATGCCAGATTCCATAGCGTCGGGCCCAAGACAGATCCCTGGGGTACCCCGGCCGTCACGTCCACGATCGTGCCTTTTTCCACCATAATCCTTCTCTCGGACAGATACTCCGCCATAACATTCATTAGGTAACCAGGACATTCTCTCTCCTCCATTGCCTTCATTACCTCGTTCCACTGCAGCGTATTGAATGCTTTGTTAACATCAAACAACAGCAGGGCCGCCCAGCGATGTTCATTCCCTCTGATGTGCAATGTTTCGAGTACACTCATGATTGCATCAATCGTGCTTTTCCCTTTACAAAAACCAAATTTCCTCCGAGATAAACCACCTGACCTCTCAATCATGTCGTCTATGCGTACTCGTAGCATCCTTTCATAGAGCTTACTGAGCTTACATGAGCTTACAAGGCTCAGGAAAGGTTTGTGCTTCCAGCAATGCATTCATGTGTTCCAGAAGCAACGCAGGCTCCACCCGTCCTAGACCCTTTACCGCCTCAGGTGGTATCTGATCCAGTCCGGGGGACCTACGAGTCTTGAGTGAACCCAATGCCTCGACAAGTTCATCCATGGTAAAGGGTACAGCCCGCTCAGCTCCTTCATCCCTCCATACACCATGACATCTGCCGTCCGGAAAGAGCTCTCTTGTTACCTCAAGCTTCTTGTCCATAGGCATTTCATAAGGAGGATACGCATGGAACTTTTTCATAACGATCTTGTATCCCTGACCCCATATGTCCTCATCCAGTTTTTCACACAGCTCTTTCCAGTGCCTTCTTTTTTCTGTACGAATTTTCCTGTACAGTTCCCTCTTCCTTGCGCGGTACTCTTCCTCGATCTCCTCGATGACTTCAGGATTGATTCCTGCTCTGCCTCTTGCTCTTGTTAACCTTCTTCTCATTGCTATACATACATTTCTTAGTGCCTCGATGTCCGCATTCCACCAATATGGCATCCTGTTGACATCTTGGCGACCAATCTTGCTTCCTTCCATCGCTTCTTTAATGACTCTCTCCAGGCTTTCCACCGTCGGTGATTGACCCTCCATTATGCTTACTCTCCATTTAATTAGCTCCTCGTATACTTTCCAGTCATTCACATCGCCGCATCTGCCCCCAGACGTCCCGGATGCATGGACCGTGTTAGTTTTCCCCGTTCCAGTTATCGAGAACTCGATGTATTGATGTTCAGTTCCGGTGTAGTCTGGCAAAACCTTCCAGCCTCTTGCTTTCGCCGCTATTCCTTGTGTCGCCATGGTCACGTCGATGTATGTACCTGTACCTCTCCTAACAAACGTAGGTTCCAGACTTGTGTTCAGAACCACTAGGTCTAGAGTACCCACCCAGTCAGTTAGTATCTTGCCGCGAGTATCGGTGATGGGAGATCCCCACTCCGCTGCTTTTGCGTTAAAATCTCCTAGCACTACGTATTCTCCTCCTGTGTTTACCACTTCCTGCATGATCTCATCTATCTTCATCTCGTACTCACCCACCGTCACGTTTGTAGAAATATAACAGCAGACCAGCCGCACCCCCTCCATCTGAACAATCACATATCCTTCTTTCGGCTTAATTTCATACACTCGCAGCTTCCTATTGTAGATTCGTAGAGCAGCCCTCCCGGTCGTATCTACAAACCATCCTCTTCTCTTCACTGCTGTTGGATTTGGTTCTGCCGTCACCAGTACATCGATGTTCTTTTCTACTGCGGCAGCCTCAGCAAGATCGTGTGCTAATCTTGCCGTTCCAACATTAGTTTGGAGAACCCTCAGCTCTAGAGTCTTGTTTTCTTTGTTTGCCATTTCTAAACCTTCGACTTCTTTCGCGCTCTCGTTTACACTCTCGTACTCTTCTTGGGATTAGTCCTTAGTGGTTCCTATTTTCAACCAGTCGGTTGAACTTTGGACATATTCTTGAATTCGCCACATGTCCATTCACGTCGCAGTTGAGGCATCTGGTTATTTCTTCCTTGCAATCCAGCGCTATGTGATCCTCTTTGCCACATCGGAAGCAACATCCTCTTCTGTTCTGCCTCTTGCATTGCCATTGTTTGTGTCCAAAGGCAAGACATCTCAGGCATCTCGGTATTTCTACCCTTGATTTTATCACTCGGCAGGATGTGTAAGTCTACTTTTATTCTTTTCATTTTCAAGATCTTTTCGGCAGCGTCTTCATCCACATCGATCACGGCACTCATCATCCCTCTTACTGCGCCTCGTGTCTCAGTCCAAATTTTTATAATGTCACAGGCCCGCTCTTTGCCAGCTGCTTCCTCAGTGGCCTTTTGGATCTCTTCCTTCGTTGTATTAGGAGGGATTTCCTGTACCAAGATTCTACTCTTCGCGATACCTCCTTTTGCAACTGCTCTCGATACGCATGTATTATCAGAGAGGAGTTTCTTCACTTCCTCCGCCATTTCCCGTCCTCCGACCAACTCCAGTGATATTCCTTGGTCTCTAGTTTGTCTGATCCTTTTAATGTCAATGTCCTTTCTTCCTGTTAGTTTATTTTTTACTTCTGTCATTAGATCCATAAAGGATTTTTCTTTGGATTTATTGATGATTACGACTCCATTTTGTTCTTTGGACTTGGTGTTGATGTTGGTCCACTTTCTTGTTGTTTTTTTACCTAGGAGCGTGATCGTTACATCTCTTCCTCTTGCAGCCCACTCAATAATTTTTCTCGATGTCTTAACTCCCAGTGCTGCCGGTGTGTAGATTCCCAAGTTTTCTCTTCCCAGCTCCTCCATCTTCTGTACCAGTTTACTGCATGTTTTCAGGAACCTCACCGGTATAGGTTCTTCCTTTTTGTTTGAAAGAAGTTTAAATCCATACTTCTCCTTGTGGATCCACGTTCCATCTTTATGAGCAGACATCGTGACTCTCATAGTTCCCAGGCCGCCCTCCTCGTCCACTTCCGCTGGAGCACCTGGTAGCTGCGGAAATATAGCTTTGGTCTTTTCCATAGCTTTGTTGTCCTCGTCATTGTTGGTGACAAAGACTGCCACATCTCCTGTTATTTCTGAGATGTCTCCTTCTTTCACTATAGTCCTAGCGAAGACCTCCTCTGGCCAGTCTTCATTTAAAAACTCTATCGTTTCCTTCTCTTCCTTACATGTTGTCATCTTGTTCGTGATAGCGTCTACCCTTCGTTTAATGGCCTCTGGATTTTCTAGGTCCACTTGAACCCCCATTGTCGCCAACTTCTTAACTTTCAAGGGTTCCATGTTGATCTGCACACCTGTAGATGTCATGCACACAGACTTCCTTGGAGCCTCTTCTTCTTTATTTTCCTCCACTTCCTCGATATAATCGAGCATCCGATTTCTCAGGATGTCGACCTCCCTCTTTATGAATAGCCTTGTATTTGGCACCTTTGTCATAAGTTTCTCGAGTTCCGCTACGCTGTCCTGGAG